TGAATTAGAGAGCTCTACAATTAAATTCTTACTAGTAAGAATTACGATTACAGAGCTCTTTAATGCAATCTATACAAAAAAAACTTGTTTTTTTATACATTTGTTGCTCTTATTCTTCTCTGCAAGTAATGATATGTTACAGGTCTACTCATTAAACCCACTCTTTTTTATTTTTAAAAAACAGTTTGGGTGTATTTGTCCTTATTTGCTCTTTTATAGTGGAGAGACAGGAAGTAAAGTTTCAGTGATGGATCACAGCATTACTATAGACACTGCCAAATACGGACAGTCAGTTCCTGCACATTTGTATTAAATAGAACAGCTTATTGGCAAGCAGAATCAACACCCCAGATTGGTCATTCAGTTTTAACATACTAAATATCTCTACTTGCATTTTGTTTGTCTTTGCACATCTTATTTCTGTTATTTTATTACGAAGGAGTCCATTCTCTGTACGGTGTCTCCCGTCCTGTCCACAAATGCACCCAGTATTAGGAGACACACTGAGCTGTGTGCTTCCCACCGACACAATTGAGGCTGAACTGTGTGGGGAAATGAGCATGGTTACCATGGCAACACTTGCACCCTGTATGGATCAGTATTCCAACTGGCCCACTCGTCTCTCATGCATACGGATATCCTTTGTAATGTTCACATAAATATCGTTATTACAATTTAAGAGCATGCATGATTTTAGGCTACCTGCCCTGTCTTAATTGTGATTCCAAAGCTGATTCTTATTCATATTTATGAACCAAAAATATATTTTGTTGAAATAATGTTTTCCTTAACATTCAGTACACATGTTAGTGTACAGTCCATGCCTTTAATGCAACAAACACAGACGAGTTTCCTCCAGAGTTTGGCTACTTCACTCTCCTGGGCAGATCTCGGCCTTTCTAGAGTCTGTTGTATGGAAGCACAAAGCATCCAGGGTAAATTATAGGACTAAATGGGGAGAAATTGGGGATACTGAGAGTAAATTCCCTCACTGTGTTATAATTTTATGGATGAAAGCATCGCTGCAAAGCATAAAGGGCACTGTGCTACAAATCACTGTTGGCTTTGAGGCTAGAATTGTTCAGACAGTTTTCCAGCATGTGTATATATTATTTCATTCTGGCTTTTCTCTTTATAGGATCTCTGTGTTCTGATGTAGAATTCTCTCTTGAAACTGACTACAGTCAGGAAACAAGATATAGTTATACTGTACAGCAGAACACGGTCAGAATGGAGCCATGCTGTTGAACAGACTCTGACTGTCTTCATTTTCACTCAGTATTCTGACCCTTTCCGCTCCCAGATCTCCGAATTCATAAGTGAGTCACATTTGCTTTCCCTATCATATAGACATCTTGAGATGGGTCATAATATTTTGAAATTCTGCTTTTAAATGTGTCCGGCAGTGAGGAGGTTTTCGAGAGACACTTGGATGCAGTTCTTTGGTACAATGGCGATCAAGTGAGTCAACAGTGACTCTACAGTCAACCCTGAAAAACACACTGAAAGAATGTCAGTGAAGACATGTTGTAAGATTCTTCTGTTAACTTCATTTTTAAATTAAGTTTACTTAAATTACCATTCAAAAGTTTGGGAGTCAGTAGATGGTTTTAAGAAATTAATTATTTTATTTTTGACACATTAAAGACTTTTACACAGACAAAATACACAATGACAATAATATACTCAATGGCCTGAAGAAATATGTGTGTTCATTCAAATAACGTTTTTTCTATGAATTAACTAGAACACAGTCCATTTCTACTCTGCTTTTCCTTGGGACAAGAGTGGGCTATCCTTCTCACATTCCTGGGGGGTCATAAAACCAGTGATATCATGATTAGTTGTCATGGTGACCAGAGCGCCTGGTGTTCAGCAGACATCCTGGCATCCAGTTAATTGAGTGAGGGGACTGTGACGATTTGTTAACCTAATGAATAATTGATTTGTTAAATCAAATTAAAATTAGTGTGTCAGATTGGTCGAGACGCTACACGGTGTTACAAAAGCTTTCTATTTCAAATAAATGTTGTTCTTTTGACCTTTCTATTCATCAGACAAAACTGAAAAAAAGAAGAAGAAAAAACATGAAAAAAATTTGTCTTGAGCACCAAATCAGCATATTAGAATGATTTCTGAAGGATTGTGACACTGAAGACTGGAGTAATGGCTGCTGAAAATTCAGTTTTGCCACCACAGGTATAAACTATAGTTTAAAAATGAATTTAAAAAATATTAAAATAGAAAACAGTTCTTTTACATAGTATAAAAGTTTACAAACCCACTGTTTTTACTTTTGTTTTATTAAATAAAGGCAGCCTTGGTGAACATAAGAGACGTTTTTCAAAAATCAATTTTCAAAAATATTACCGACCTCAAACTTTTGAACATATACATGTAGTGACACTACAGCCATTAGTCATTGTTAATAGACCACTGAACCATACATCTTTTCTGTGTATACTTCAGGCCATGCAGAGGTTGGATTCTGTCATACCCATTGTGTTGAGCTCAACGCACAGTATAATTGCCAGCAGCAGCAGTGGAGAGTTTTGAAGAGCCTGTTTTGATAGCATGCAGGTATAATATATGGCTATAATTTATACTGGCTCCCAAGAACACCCTATTTTATGTGTCATTTAATTTCTTATTCTTAAGAACAGTGCTTACTTGTGAAAGTTGTAAACAATGTTTTAAAACTGGGTTTGTTTTAGGTCAAGAGCACCAGCGAGTTACGTGTCTCACTATGACAGTCTCTTCAAAGCATCGTGGATGGCCGCTTTGCTCCAAGGCGCGTGTGTAGTAACGAAAAGGTGCTTTTGCAAAGCTTCTTTCAGATTATTTCATTTCTGTGTTCATGATTTTGTCTTTGAACATTTGTGATTTTAATGTCCTCACAAGGTGGTGGAGGCTGTTAGCTCTGAACAGAGTAGGCTTGACGGCTGGGAGGAAGGTACGTTTTTGAGTGAGTTTAATAGTCTTCATACAATAATTCTTCCTAGAGCTTATCTGATTCTGGGAATTTTGTCATTATAATTGTTCTAATTTCATGTCTTCTGGGGGTTATTGATTTTAAAGCGCCACAGAAATCATTAATAGAGTTGGCTGAGGTTGTTATATTTTGAAAGATGTTGATTCATTCCTTTTTAGAGTTTGAAAATCCACCAACTGTCTTCTAAGAGGATTCACTGTGACCTTCAATACTCAAGCTTTATCCCCAAGAAGAGACAAAGTTCAGAGATGTTCTCTGAGAATTCAGACACCTTCATGAACAGTGTCTTTGAGGCAGCAAACATCCAGAGAAATCCCCTGTCCCCAAAACAGCTTCCTCAAAGTCAGCAAACCAGAACGATCACAAACCCTCAGCACTGAACCTGGCTAAACTGAAAAATGAACAGGAGGATAACTAAAATGATTGGGAATACTGTATGCCATTTGTTCAATCTGACATGTAGCCCAGAAGAACGCAATCACAAAAAAGATGTATATACAGTACAATGCATATCCTAGCTGTTTTGTTATCTATCTTTGTGAAGGTGGAGAAGCAGTGGCTTCAAGAGCTTGAAAACTTTTCTGAATGGGACTGACGAAAATACAGTTGAGTTTGCTCACGTCTTCAAGACCTATGTTGAAAAATATTACTTTGTATATTCAAATGTACTGTGTAAGTTTCAAAGATACAGTTTTTGTTGTAATTTAATAGTATGTTTTTTTATTATTATTTATGTTTATTTAGTTTGTAGGCTACATTAAAATTCACAAGGAATGTATCCTTATTTTTGTGTTAAATGTATATTCTGGACATATACACTAATGACTACTATATATGTTTCTCATCTTAAAACCATCTTGTTCTTGTACTTAAATGTTTAAAAAGTTTAAAAATATTATTATTATAAATTGGGCCGACATGAATTTCCAAAACCAAATCTTTAATTTCCTATTTTTAAATAATGAGTCAGACCAACTTAGCAGCCAGCATAGGATGTATAATTATGTTCGTTTAAAACATCACAAATTAGGAACGTGATCAATTTTGACTCTTTAAAATAGTTGTATAGTCTTATAGATATCTTAACAGCACTGCTCCAGTGATGGGCTCCTCCCCTGTGAGACCGCTCTACGAGACTGCAGGCGCAGTTTCAAAACTAACGCGCTCTCGTTCAATGACTCCTGATCTCGCGAGCTCTCCGTTTTCACTGCTTTTTCGGTGTTGATACTATTTTGTTATGGACTGTGTTGAGTTAGACGCCCACCACTGGTAAATAATGGATCGAGCTTCATAAAGGTAAATAATACCTAACGGATTGTCTGTTATTTCAGCTTCTGTGTGTAATATGTCTATAATTACCTCAGCAACTGTAGCATCTTGCTAAGATGTAGCTGTCATGCTAAGCTAACTTAAAGGCACTGGGTGCAATCAGATTCAGTTAGCAGTGTGTGTGTTGTTATCAGAGCGGCTGTCTTCACTTAATCTGGTCGAAATTAAAGCAGTCGTACGTTCAGACATCTGCTGCTTGGCTCGGGGACGCGTTGTCAGGATATCTAGCCGGGTACTGAGACCATTGGGTGGTAATTCTAAGCTTAAACTGATCTAGAAAAGCATGCAAGTGTTTATACTGTCGTATACTGTAAAACTGGTTTTAAATGTTTCCTACTTTTGACTTTTACTGAATTAAAACGGTTTTATGTAACTGTATGAAGTAGTTCTCTTTGAACTTACTGTCACATTTGCTAATTAGCTGATGTAGTATTCAAAATGTGAGATAGATAAGATGGGTGGATAGATTGATAGATGGATAGTTGGAACAACAGATAGATAGATAGATAGATAGATAGATAGATAGAACTGTCACTGATTGTGGACATCATTTGTTTACACAGGTTCTATTAAAGCCCTGTGTAATGTGTGGAGTTTTGTGCATAGAGATTTCATGCGGATGGTCACATGATCAATCACGTTGCTCTAATAGGCTTAATCGGATGTTTGTAGACCAGTCCACTCTCCCCCTTTTTTACTGTATATGTTTCATTGTTGTTGATTATCACATACATCCAGGGACATCTATTTACTAACATAATGCACTGTAAATGTCCAGCAGGATTCAGTGTGTTTCTCCTGGACTTGCCACAGAGAGGATGCTCCCCTGCCTGGCCCACAGACCATGGCAAGTCCTCTGCCGGGTCTACCTGCTACAACGAGCCCCTTTATCTCAGAGACCCCCTAAAATAGCAAAGCCATGTTTTGGTGAGAGCTTCACGCAGTGTCATTTGCATGTTTTGTTTTGTCAACATAAGGACTGAGAGACTAGAAGATGTGTGTATTTAATTTTGTGTTTCATATGTTGTCACTCAACATTGGTAGTTTTAATAATTCTAGACTAGATCCAGAAATCATTCAGATTACGTAACTCGTGAGTCGTGATACTCCATAGGTTGGCAAAGTGGAGGAGGTGTGCACAAACTCTGGTTTAGCTCCCCCGATTCCAGAGTCGCTTCCTTAACGTGGACACAGATTCAGAACTGTTCCACAACAGGCAGTGATAAAGACGGATCTCCAGCAGGCCCTGTAGAGCCAAAGCCCACTGAGGAAGAACAAGCTGCACAGCCCTCTGCAAAAACAGCTGGTAATGATTTTTAGCATTATTTGATGTTTGTTCATAGGCATTTGAATGATGTCTAAAAAATGCTAATTTCTATAAACCATTTGTTTCTTAGGTTTTTCTGAGTAAATGTAAATAAACAGTGTTTTATAAATGTATTCATAAATTATGTAATGTATGTGTGGTAATTATGATTTTAATCAATTAATCTTTCTCTTTTTTGCATTTCAGGTAGCAAACCTCAAGGTCTGATGAAAGCACAGAGCATTCAAGTGAAAGGTAGTGCAGTCTTGTTATACACACAGACACTTTGTAGCACCTTTCGGTCCAATAAAATTGTATATCGTGATTCTATGTATTTGAACTATCTTGCATGTTTCTTGTGTTTTCAGTACGGGCTGTCCTGAAAAAAAGGGAATATGGCACCAAATACACCCAGAATAATTTCATCACTGCAGTCAGAGCTATGAACGAGTTCTGCCTCAAACTCGGGTACCTTTAGGAAGTAGAGCTTTGTAGTCATCCAGTTTGGTGCCCTTCCACCATGTTTACATTAAATCTATGCATTTTTGTGTGTTCAAAGTGACCTTGAGCAGCTTAGAAAAATCCGTCGACGTAGTCCCCATGATGACACAGAAGCCTTCACCGTCTTCCTGCGATCAGATGTGGAGGCAAAGTATGTACAAATGTCTTCTTATACTACCATTCGAAAGTTTGGTTTAGTAAGATACATTTACATTAACATTTAGTTATTACTAGAACAGAGTGGCCGCGGGTCCTTAAAAAGTCTTAAAATGTCTTAAATTCAGATTCAGTAGGTCTTAAATATTTTTGGTCACATTACCACAAACATTTCTCCAGTCTGACGGACCCAGTGAGTGTCCATCAAGAGTACTTTTTTCCCCGCTGTAGTTACGCGTCATCAGAGAGAATTGCGGTTACAGAATACAGTCGAACACCAGCTCGCTCTCCAGCCTCCGAACTACTTTAAATGGGTTAATACAAGTTTACTGAAAAATGGCTTGAGAATTGTACTTGCCCGACAGGACTAATAGCCTGATTAAATCTATAATCACGCATCAAAACGCGCAAATGATTCTTCTGATTTTATTACATTTAGCTTAAACAGCGATTGATGATGGATAGTGTATTTCTATTATCAATGTCGCGCTGTTGAGGCTTGTGCTGCCTGTCTCTGTGAGACACTTTCATGGAGAAATCAAATCAAATGAGCGTACGGCACACATAAAGAAACTCACAGAACAAACATACTGAGGTAAAAATTCTAAATGTTTAGTTTATTTATAGCATGATATAGTCAAGTAACATACCATGACAAGTGATCTATTTTGCTGAATATTTTCACGATTGCAAATGTTACACTGATTTTAGTTCAACAAACAAGTAGTAAAGTAACTTACATTTTTAGACACAATTGACTGTTTTGTTCTATTTCACCAGCGAAAATAGTTCCAAACGAAGATCAGAACAGAATTATTGTGCACATTCTCCAAGCCACACCCGGCGATTTTGTTACTGAATGATTCAGAGGTTTGAAGGAATTGGTTGAATGAATAAGTGACTTACCGCCACCTACTGGCGGTTTACGCTCATGCTTAAAAGTATGCATTTTTCCCCAACATTTCTTATTTGTATGTTCAAATTTTTTTTTACAACATTAATCCCATAACATTATTTATTGCTGTTGTAATTTTGTAATTATTTAATATTATTGGTAACAGCCCTGTAGTGTATTCAATTTCTTGATCAATTGTAAGAATTTGACTTGAAAGATGACGCATACATTTAATAAGGTAAAAAAAAAAATTTGACCTTTATAAAGGTAAATGACATCCTGTGGTAAATATTAAAAACATGCAGATTTAAGTATGTAAAAGCTGACAGAAACCTGATGAAAATATTTCTTCAGAATAAATTGTTTACACCACCAAAAATCTCGGTTGATGCGACACTTTTGTGGGAATATTTTGTATGGGATATTGTCTACTGGTATGAAAAGTTCACTGTATATCGTAATAAATAGAATTTTTGACAGTGAGGATATTTTGTTTTCTTTTTACATTTAAACGCGTTAAATATTACATAAACGTTTGTAATATAATGTGTATTTCCATCACAGGCTTGGTCTTAAATTTCATATAAGGTGGTATTAAAAAGTCTTAAATTTTAACTTGTTCATATCTGTAGACACCCTGTAGAATCAAATTCCAAATAAATGTTGTTCTTCTGAACTTTTTATTTAGCGAAAAATACTGACCGTTTCCACAAAAATATGAAGCAAAAATATTTTGCTGTATTTTTGATTAAATAATTGCAGCCTTGATGAGCATAAACAGTATAAAAACTTACTGACTTCAACCTTTTCAATGGTAGTGTACTGTATACACCTTTGGGCATCATGCACAAGGATCTGAAATTATGAGTAGAGAGATCAATTAGCATGTTTCGGTGTCTTTATTTAGAGCGCTGGATGTATGGGGAAGTCAAGAGGCACTTGCTAGAGAGAGGAATCTCAGGAAGGAGGTGGAAAGGGAATACCAGGAAAGTATGTCATTCTCTCCTCATTTAATGCATGATCTGCATTCTGATGTTTTTGCTGTCTAAATGAGCATTTGTCCTTCTCTTTCTCATAAGACATATTTAGAAATCAGAAGCTGTTGAAGGAGTACAAAGACTTCTGGGGGAACACAAAGGTAAAAACAAGTTCAAGCCTGTCGCTATGATTTTTATGTTTTGTTACTAGTGCCTGGGTGTAACCAGTCCTCGTGATTCATGATATTCCTCAGGTTCTTCCATTGTACCTTTCTTGACATTTTTTTCATATTCATATCTTCATGCTGCTCCTAATTCAACCTCAACGCAGAGCATAACAATGAGTACAGTTAGCTACCTGTGTTTTTGATCAGTTTTGTCTCCTATAGCCTCGGTCTAGGAAGAGAGTGACATTTCTACAAGGGCCGGGAAAAGTAGTGATGGTGGCTATATGCATGTAAGTTTTACCAGCCTCATGCTATCTAGCTATTAGATTAAGGATATTGAGTTAAAAGACACGTGCTCCCACATGAGGCCTGACCCACACTGACTGGAAAAATTCCATATTATTCCCTCCGGTTCGCTAATGTGTTATTTCGCCAATACTTCGTGGCCTATGCATACTTGCTTGCTTGATTTACGTTAGTTACGTGCATTTACGCGTTACGTTAAGTGTTTCCCGCGTGAGGTACTTTGTGTTGTAGTTGCCATGATGTTCACCCGTGCACGGAAGTTGATGAAACTACTACGATGGTACCTCAACAGACACACCGTGAAATTAATGTTGAATTGCTTTGCTTGTTAAGATAATGTAAACCCATGAGGCAAGAAAAATGTGAAAGCATATTCATATATCTTAAAACTTATGGTTACATGAGCCATAAGCTCTTTTCAATAAAATCCATGCAAAAGTTAATATCAGATCATTTTAGAATACAGTACAGGATGTACTGAATATTCTTCAGTTTTATGCAAAACAGAAATACGACAAACAGAATAGCAGATATGCAAAACAGAAGTACGTTGAATAGAATCTCTGTCATATGGCCAAAAATACGTAAATGCAAAAAAAAAATGCTTTTTTGCATAGTTGTGTTTGACGCATAAAACTGTAACAATGTATCTTACGAGGTAACACGATGTAACTTTGCTCTCACTTGAAATGTGTCCCCACATTAAGTCCTTGAATTTGAGGGTATTGGACCTGGAAAGTCCTTGAAAGGTCCTTGAATTTTAAGTTAACCAAGGTGTGGGAACCCTGTATTACTGTTTTGAGCATCAGTGTATTTGTGCATCATGTGGAGATATAAATGTCTAATTTCATTTTTTCAAAATTGCAGAAATGGACTGAATTTTTTCTTCAAGCTGTTGGCGTGGGTTTATACAGGATCTGCCTGTATGTTTTCAGAAGCCATCCACTCACTGGCTGATACCTGCAATCAGGTAAGTTGGCATTCATGTCCGTATAACCACCTTTGACCTGAATGACATGCCTACAAAAGATGGTGTATGATTTAAAAATAAAAAACATAGACATATATACTTGTTCATTCATTCAATTCATCTCTTATACTCTCTCTTTCACAGGCTCTTCTTGCACTAGGCATCAGCCAGTCTGTCCGGAACCCAGATGCCATCCATCCGTACGTACAGCTCATATAGGTTGATGCCTCCATGTTGCCCTCTGGTTATGTGGTCATGTCTAAGCCAACTGTCCTGTATTGTTAAAGGTACGGCTTCTCCAACATGCGTTACATCGCCTCTCTCATCAGCGGAGTCGGAATCTTCATGATGGGTGCTGGCTTGTCCTGGTATCATGGCATTATGGGACTCCTGCACCCTCAGCCAATAGAATCACTGCTCTGGGTTAGTAGCACTGGGTTAGAACTTGTAGATCAGGGGTGTCCAAACTCGGTCCTGGAGGGCCAGTGTCCAGAAGAGTTTAGCTCCAACCCCAATTAAACACACCTGAACCAGATAATCAAGCTCTTACTTGGCATACTAGAAACTTAAAGGCAGGTGTGTTGAGGCAAGTTGGAGCTAAGGACCGAGGACCGAGTTTGGGCACCCCTGTTGTAGATGAACAAAATAATATTAAGTCTGTGATGTTACATTACCATTTGAAAGTTTGGTATTGGTAAGATTTTAAGGTTGTATTTATTTGATCAAATATACAGAAAAATCCTATTATTGTGAAATACTACAATTTTGTATTACCGTTTCTATTGGACTATATTTAAAAATTGTATTTATTCCTATGATGGCAAAGCTGAATTTTCAAGCTTCAGTATCACGTGATCCTTCATAAATCATTTTAATATGCTATATTAAGCTATCTGCTTAAGAAACATCTTATCGTTTTTGAAAACAGCTGTGCTGGTTGATATTTTTGTGGAAAATGTGACACATTTATTTTCAGGATTCTTTGATGAATACAGAATTTTTTAAAAAGAGCAGCATTTACTTGAAATAGAAATCTTTGTAGTATTATAAATGCCTTTACTGTCACGTTCTATAAGTTTAATCTGTCCCTGCTGAATAAAAATTGGAATAAATAAGTCTTACTGACATCAAGCTTTTGAACAATTGTGTATAGCTGTTTTTTTTTTGTATTGTCTTTTGCAGGCTTATTGTATTTTAGCAGGATCTCTGGTATCTGAAGGAGGTGAGATGTGGTTTCCTGTGCCATATTTTCAATAACATTCAGAAAGGTCTGACTGTCACTATTTTAATAGCATCTGTCTGCTGATTCCCCATAAAGCTACTCTATTGGTGGCCATTAACGAGATCAAGAAGAGTTCACGTAAACAAGGCTTGTCTTTTTATGAGTACGGTATGTATCTTTGGTTAACTCTTCTGTTAGCCTTTTATGTTATTTGATTGTGATTGAAGTTTTGACACAGTTTGGAGATGATCAGTTTGATAATTCTTGTTTGTTTGTTTGTTTGTGTACGACAGTGATGCAAAGTCGAGACCCCAGCACTAACGTGGTCCTGTTGGAGGACGCTGCTGCTGTGGTCGGGGTGGTGCTGGCAGCTGGATGTATGGGACTAACGTCTCTTACAGGTACCGGTATTTAAAATAAATGCAAGAATGATATATCATACATTTGACATCAGGAAAGTAAGTGTCATTGTACCTGACCCTCCTGTTTAATGCTAACTGTTTTTCTTTCCTGTTTCTGCGGTCTCTACTACAGGGTCATGTTTAATAAGCATATGGGACTGAGCTTTATCCCCTTTGTAAAGAGCAGTTGATGTTCTTTTTAAGCTTTGTAAATCCAGCTCTGTACATTTGTGCTAACACAAAGTCAACACCTACGAATGCCCAGAAGCTTGTTCCTCTTGCCCTGTGGTTTTCATGGCTTTGTGGGAAATTTGCGTAGAGATCTGGATAATGCTCTATTCAGTAAACCTGCTTTCATGCTTGAGAACAGTGCTGATGGCGGTTTCAGCTCAGTTTTTTTATCCGGTGCTTACTACAGTTGTATTTTATTGAAGTGTAATCAACCATGAAACTGAAGGCAGTGTTATTTTACATAGCAGGGCTTCAAAAAAAAAAAAGAAATAGCACTTTTCGTTGTACCACTAGAAGTCTCTATTGTGCCATGCTGCTGTGTGCTAGTACAAAAGTTTGCAATCAGTAAGGTTTTTTTCTTTTGAAATAAGAGTCTTATGATCATCCAATTTGATCGTAAAAACAGTACAATTGTGAAATAATTATTACAGTTTAAAAGAACTGTTTTCTATTATAATACATTTTAAAATGTAATTTATTGCTCTGATGGCAAAGCTGAATTTTCAGCAGCCATTACTCCAGTCTTCAGAAATCATTCTAATATGCTGATTTGATACTTGAGAAACATTTTGTCAATTTTAGCATATAGCTAAATGGATTACCTCAAAATGTTGCTTAACCCTTAGCTGCATAAATGTAAAAAAAACTTCTGTTTAGGCATTTCCATTTAGACAAAACATTTTTTTTTTTAAATATGTCCTAACACATTGCACCTTTTCCATAACACCATGGGTTGTGTTATTCATGGCAGATGCTATATTCAATTGTCAGTATGTCAGCTGGCCGCTTTGATTTGGGTTGCACTCATATTAGTCTCACGCATTATTTACTGAACATGACATTCAATGCATTTAATGCCTCTCTTTTTCTCCCCCTTCGTAGGTAACCCCTACTATGACAGTCTGGGTTCTCTGTGTGTGGGCACCCTGTTAGGAACAGTGTCTGCATTCCTCATCTACACTAACACAGAGGCTCTGCTGGGTCGCTCCATCCAGGCCGAGCATGTGCAGAAGCTCACAGAGTTTCTAGAAAATGACCCTGCTGTCAGGTCAGTCCTCTGTCCCTGCCTCTCTCCACTGTATGTGTCCTCTACGTGTACCCACAGTCTGCATAATAAGAGCTTCATCAGCAAACAAGCTGCCATCTTACAATTCATAACAATACTTTAACAAGGAGGCAGAAGCAGTCTGCTTCAAATGCTTTTCAAATTCAGGCAAGCATCACATCCTGACACGTAAGCTTGCTCGGACAGAGTTGCATCAGTGCTTGTTCTTGCTTTGATGAAATTAGATTTGATGTCTTCACTTCAGGTAATTTTGTCTCCAGGGCGATTCATGATGTCAAAGCCACAGATATGGGGCTGAGCAAAGTGCGCTTCAAGGCGGAGGTGGACTTCGATGGGCGGGTGGTGACACGCTCATACCTGGAGAAGCAAGACATTGAACAGATCCTCAATGTACGTGCTGAGAGACAAGGCTTCTGCTGTGATGTAGATCATCTGACGTGACTCAAGTGTTTGTTTCAAGTCTATCCATGGTTGCATAGAAGTTACTAAACTATTAGCACTATTAGCAAACAAATTCATGGTAGTTTTTGCTGATGACTCATCTTTTTGGGAGCTCTGCATATTAATAGTGTAACTATCTGTGCTTCTAAATTGTGTGCGTTTGGCCTGCAGGACATTCAGCAGGTGAAGACGCCAGAGGAGCTGGAGAACTTTATGTTAAAGCATGGGGAGAACATTATTGACACCTTAGGAGCAGAGGTGGACCGTCTAGAGAAAGAACTTAAGGTATCTGATAAGATCACACTCATAAACAGCTCTTAATTGGCGTCTATGGTTCTATGAAGAACCTTTAACAAACATGGAACCTTTCTATTGTACAAAAGGTTCTTTATAGTGGAAAAAGATTCTTTAGATTTTTAACAAAAAAAAATTTACGCTAAGAAAACTGCTTTGTTTTTGTATCTTTAAGAACTGTTCACTGAGAGGTTCTTTGGCAAGCCATAAATGGTTCTTCTATGGCATTGCTGTGAAAACTCCCTTTTTTAGCCTTTATTTTCAAATCACTCTGTGTCTCCATCCTGACACTCAAGATGTAAGGTTAGCTGTCTAAGAATAATTCAGCTCTACATTCAGCAGATACCACACTCATGATTGTTTGAAGCCACACATAGAGGAAATCAGTTCAGCTATTTGGTCACCACTATTCAAATAAATCAAAGTGAAACCTTCCAGTTTCACTCTCCATTGTTTAATTTTGGAAAAAGGAAAATCAGATTTGATGTTTCGCAGACAACACCGTAATTGCTTTTTCACACTGTATATGATGTATTGACAGATGGCCAGAAAGTTAAATGCTAATTTGTTTGTTTTTTTTGCTTTTGAATTTATATTAAAAAAAAGTTCTAATATTGTTAGAATTAACAGAATTTACAAAAAGGAGATTTATTTCTAAATCATACATTAACGTTTAAAAGTTTGGGGTTGGTAAGGACTTTTTTATTGTTTTGAAATACATATCCTATGCTCATATAGGCTGCATTTATTTGATCTAAACACAGTAATATTTTTACGATTTAAAATATATTTTCAATCTTAATGTATTTTAACATGTAATTTATTCCTGTGATGGCAAAGTCCTCAGTGTCACATGATCCTTCAGTACACTGGTGTTCAAAAAACATTTTATCATTTATTATTATCAACATTTAAAACAGTTTAATATTTAGTGGAAACCATGATACATTTTTTCAGGATTCTTTGGTGAAGAGAAAGTTTCACCGGCATTTGAGGTTAGTACTTACTAGTCCTCATTTTTCCTTGACTGACTCCTGCTCTGTATCTCCAACAGCAACGTAATCCTGAGGTGCGACATGTGGATCTGGAGATTTTATAATGTCATGACACATTGCTGAATGGGGATCCGGATGGAGTGGAAGGAAAACGAAAACGAATCAAACCTCGAGCGACCATGATCACCCCATGCTTTCCAACCAGCCAATCAGCTGAGGTCTTATGTTGCACCTATCACACATCAACCAAGCACTCTAACCTGTGCATGGTTTCAGTAGCTGTTAAAATAGCAGAACCATAGCCACATCAGAGAGGACTCCAACTGGACATGGCTAATAAATGATTATTTTACAATCATTGGCTTTCAGATATGTGGTAGTTTGTACCATCAGAGCTTTGAAATCATGTCCATGGATTGTAAAAGGACCAGTCTTATTTCATTTTACAGTTTGCATGCAAAGCAGCATAAACACTAATATTTTACAGCAGTTCTCACAGTAACACCAGGATATAACCATAAATAGTTAGCTTGAAGGGTAAAGCGTCCATTCTGCTAGATGAAAGCACTGGTTTAAATTATATGTAAAAAAGTTTTCCATGTTACTCCACTGTTTTTTTTAAATGCACAGAGATGATGGCGTGTTCAAACAATGCCATTGTCATTGAATGAAGTAAGCGGATTTATTGATTATTCATGAGTGAGTTACAAAACTGAACAGCAGTTTTAATCTACTTAAAAAAAAGGTCCCGTTTAAATTGATGTTTAAATCAGTTTTAAAAAGACGTTTATAATTACCACTTATTCAAAATAGATTAAAAAAAATAGTACTAATAGAGTAAAAAAGTGTGTTCTAAACTACATTGATTTATTATATCCACATTTATTAGTAATGAGAGAACATAGAATCAAATTTAGAACAACGGGTATCCATGGCCCACCTCAGCCCCCTCAACTGATGAAGACTACTCAGATCTTCACATCCTTCCTATACTAAAAGTACTAATGTCATTATGCTGCTTTTGGGACTGTTCATCTGTTTATGCTGTAATTTTGTGTGACTGAATGAAAGCAATTGTAGATGTCCAAAAACAGCTGTTTCTAAAGTCATTGATGGCATTGAGTTGCCAACCTAGTTTGTGAACACTAACCCAAGTGCTTTTTTTCCCCCCATTGTAAATAATTCTTGACTGAAAATACAACATTCTGATTTTGATATCTGAAAAAGAAGCATTCAGTCCGTTTAAATTCTCTCAGTACACATGCAAAGTGTTTAGTTACATGCAATGTTTTTAAACATTGTAATTTAATCAGAGCTTCACAATTTTCCCTTAGGAACAGTCAGACATGGATGAAGTTAAAAGATTAGTTTTGGAAAAGGCTTTAAGACTATATATATTTTAAATATGTTTATTTGACAGATTGTTGTTTGGTTAAATCTTCGAGCTGTTTGGAGCTACTGAAGAAAATGAATAAATTGCAATTAATTTATTAAACCACTGAATATTTGTCTTTTTTACTGACAAAATATATCAGAATTTTCCTTTTTTTTTAAAGGAATTAATGCTTTTATTCTACAAACGATTAATTAAATTAATAAAAAGTTACATTAAATACAATTAGAATGTTACAAAACATTTTGTATTTCAAAATTTGAAAATCTTTTGAAGTTTCTTTTCATATATATAGTTTTAATTTAACAATAATAATAATAACTAGTTATTTTAAATTGTTAGAATATTATCGTTTAACTTTATTTTTAATCAAATAAATGCCGCCTTGGTGAGCATAAAACTTTAAATACATTTAAAAAATCTTTTATATTAATTTTTTCCTTTATGACGGCTCTTATTTAACATCGCTCGTCAAAAAAAGTCAATGTCGTTGGCTAGTATTTCTTTTATTTAGTCATTTAGCAGATGCTTTTATCCAAAGCGACTTACAAATGAGGACAATAAAAGCAGTCAAAACTAACAAAAGAGCAACAATAAATACAGTGGGTACGGAAAGTATTCAGACCCCCTTAAATTTTTCACTCTGTTATATTGCAGCCATTTGCTAAAATCATTTAAGTAAATTTTTTTTCCTCAATGTACACACAGCACCCCATATTGACAGAAAAACACAGAATTGTTGACATTTTTGCAGATTTATTAAAAAAAGATAAATATAGATAAAGTAGAATTCAAATAGAATAGAAAGTGTTAGAGTTAGAGGGTCAAATAAAGGTAGATTTAAATAAAGGCTAGTAGACTTAACAATAACCTAGTCTGTTGATTGGCTCAGATATATTTCTGGACTTTGGAGCTGCAACCTACAAATACAAAAGGGCTTCTCAAAATAATGGAACCATACAGATTTGGCACACCTAATATGTAGTATATAGGATTCTGTATGGTCAGTGGCAGCCGTGATTTCAGTTTGCGGTGTACAGGATGCATCTACAGCAGAAAAACACAGCATTGTTGACATTTTTGCAGATTTATTAAAAAAGAAAAACTGAAATATCACATGTTCCTAAGTATTCAGACCCTTTGCTCAGTATTTAGTAGAAGCACCCTTTTGATCTAATACAGTCATGAGTCTTTTTGGGAAAGATGCAACAAGTTTTTCACATCTGGATTTGGGGATCCTCTGCCATTCTTCCTTGCAGATCCTCTCCAGTTCTGTCAGGTTGGATGGTAAACGTTGGTGGACAGCCATTTTTAGGTCTCTCCAGAGATGCTCAATTGGGTTTAAGTCAGGGCTCTGGCTGGGCCATTCAAGAACAGTCACAGAGTTGTTGTGAAGCCACTCCTTTGTTATTTTAGCTGTGTGCTTATGGTCATTGTCTTGTTGGAAGGTAAACCTTTGGCCCAGTCTGAGGTCCTGAGCACTCTGGAGAAGGTTTTCGTCCAGGATATCCCTGTGCTTGGCCGCATTCATCTTTCCCTCGATTGCAACCAGTCGTCCTGTTCCTGCAGCTGAAAAACACCCCCACAGCATGATGCTGCCACCACCATGCTTCACTGTTGGGACTGTATTGGACAGGTGATGAGCAGTGCCTGGTTTTCTCCACACATACCGCTTAGAATTAAGGCCAAAAAGTTCTATCTTGGCCTCATCCGACCAGAGAATCTTATTTCTCACCATCTTGGAGTCCTTCAGGTGTTTTTTCATGTGTCTTGCACTGAGGAGAGGCTTCCGTCGGGCCACTCTGCCATAAAGCCCCGACTGGTGGAGGGCTGCAGTGATGGTTGACTTTCTACAACTTTTTCCCATCTCCCGACTGCATCTCTGGAGCTCAGCCACAGTGATCTTTGGGTTCTTCTTTACCTCTCTCACCAAGGCTCTTCTCCCCCGATAGCTCAGTTTGGCCGGACGGCCAGCTCTAGGAAGGGTTCTGGTCGTCCCAAACGTCTTCCATTTAAGGAATGGAGGCCACTGTGCTCTTGGGAACCTTAAGTGCAGCAGAATTTTTTTTGTAACCTTGGCCAGATCTGTGTCTTGCCACAATTCTGTCTCTGAGCTCTTCAGGCAGTTCCTTTGACCTCATGATTCTCATTTGCTCTGATATGCACTGTGAGCTGTAAGGTCTTATATAGATAGGTGTGTGGCTTTCCTAATCAAGTCAAATCAGTATAATCAAACACAGCTTGACTCAAATGAAGGTGTAGAACCATCTCCAGGATGATCAGAAGAAATGGACAGCACCTGAGTTAAATATTTGAGTGTCACAGCAAAGGGTCTGAATACTTAGGACCATGTGATATTTCAGTTTTTCTTTTTTAATAAATCTGCAAAAATGTCAACAATTCTGTGTTTTTCTGTCAATATGGGGTGCTGTGTGTACATTAATGAGGAAAAAAAATAACTTAAATGATTTTAGCAAATGGCTGCAATATAACATAGAGTGAAAATTTTAAGGGGGTCTGAATACTTTCCGTACCCACTGTAAGTGCAAATGACAAGTCTCGGTTAGCCTAACACAGTACACGTAGCAAGGTGTGTGTGTGTGTATGTAAAAACAAAGAAAAACAAGTAGATAGAATAGAAAAAATAGAAAGCTAGTGTTTGTTTTTTGTTGTTGTTTTTTTTAAATAAAAAAAGATAAATATAAAGTAGAATTAAAATAGAATAGAAAGTGTTAGAGTTAGAGGGTCAAATAAAGGTAGATTTAAATAAAGGCTAGTAGACTTAACAATAACCTAGTCTGTTGATTGGCTCAGATATATTTCTGGACTTTGGAGCTGCAACCTACAAATACAAAAGGGCTTCTCAAAATAATGGAACCATACAGATTTGGCACACCTAATATGTAGTATATAGGATTCTGTATGGTCAGTGGCAGCCGTGATTTCAGTTTGCGGTGTACAGGATGCATCTACAGCAGCAGAGACATTGTACATAGACTGTGGCTCAAATTCTGGTGAGCAGCCTACCTAGACAACATTTGCGAGCGCGTTGTGAGCATTTGACTCGAAACGCCGTCTGGGTAGGAAGGACACTAGGGATTGAGACAGGGCCATCAGGAACGTGTGGCGCATCCGTGATGGTGGTCATGAAGAAAGGTAGAGACTCCGCGGCTGAACATCGGATTTCCTCCCACGACGAGGGGTTGATCTCTCTGTGAAGGTATAGTGTGTTTTCTCTTTGGATCTGATGACTAAGATTTACTCGACAGATTGTAGAAAAATGGACATTGTCGTTGACATGCTTGTATATCAAAATAAATCGTTGCTTCTGCGGAGGTTCATTGAAATCTGTGGCATTTATCATCTGTGGATGCTTTTTTAAATGAGCTTTTTGTTTGTAGTCAAACACGATACATTTGTGTTTTGCTCACAATGTATCGGATGTTATCTAAAATACATAAATATTGTTTTAATATTGCTTTATTGCTTGAGTTTAACCGTAATCTATATCCCGTGTGTGTCTTGAATGCCAGGCCTTTTGAATTGTTTATCGACGGTCGATATTTGATATTCGTGTGAATTTTCCTATTGTTATTGATGTTTTTCATAGCAAACACACCAATAGGGGGCGCTATCGGCCTTGTCTTGATGGCCACGTCCGCCACCTCTATTAATTCCGCAATCATGGAAGCATTACACTATATTTATTGGTTAATTTAAAATAAATCGTTGCTTCTGCGGAGGTTCATTGAAATCTGTGGCATTTATCATCTGTGGATGCTTTTTTAAATGAGCTTTTTGTTTGTAGTCAAACACGATACATTTGTGTTTTGCTCACAATGTATCGGATGTTATCTAAAATACATAAATATTGTTTTAATATTGCTTTATTGCTTGAGTTTAACCGTAATCTATATCCCGTGTGTGTCTTGAATGCCAGGCCTTTTGAATTGTTTATCGACGGTCGATATTTGATATTCGTGTGAATTTTCCTATTATTATTGATGTTTTTCATAGCAAACACACCAATAGGGGGCGCTATCGGCCTTGTCTTGATGGCCACGTCCGCCACCTCTATTAATTCCGCAATCATGGAAGCGTTACACTATATTTATTGGTTAATTTACCTTTCAGTGTTGTCATATATCTAACCTTAATGTGACACTGGCTGCGTCTGGAAAACCTAACGAGCTGACTACCTAGACAGCATTATGAGGCATTTTGCAATGATGTCCAGAAAAAAAAAAATGCTGCTGCTGCTGCTGCTCGCTAGATTTTGAGAGACATCCAGTGGTGTTATTATGTACCCTCAGTAGACATCATGCACGGATGATTTACTCTGAGCTTTGAGCCTCTTTACGATGCTGCCTTGTAGACCCAGAATCAAGCAGCATTGTACAGGGCTATGAAAGCACAGAGACACTTCCATATCAGTCCGGCTGTTTGAGAAGGACTTCTGTCAACCTCAAATGTGTTTATGTGATTATTTTGTATCATTGCAATGCAATTCGTTTAAACTTCTTTTAATTATTAATTGATTTGAAGCCTTGTTTAATCAACCCTGTAACTGAACTGAAAAGCGATATCATTCGTATACAGACAGGTCATCTTCTTTCAATGAATTATTAAATATAATGTACGTAGCTAAACATCCCTAACTGGCTGGAAAATAGTGAAACTAATATTCATTTATTTTCAAAATAATATTTAATTATTTATTAAATGTTGTATTATTATATATTAAAAACAACAACAATAATATTCAGTAGTATTATTATTAAAAATCTTATTTGGGGTTTTGTCCTATGGACTTTTTTTTTTTTTTTTTTCTCGGCCACCCATTTTGATGTTTATCAGATAATGCTTTGAATTTTGTCTCATGCTGGGATCATAGGGTTCGGAAGATATGTCTCTTCTGAACTACTAGTTAATTAACTTTAATGTTATTTTTATTTACAGTGACAGACAGTGTCCATGCTGTCCGTAATGTTGCCAGACATCTGTTGGCATGTGACAAAAAGCCTAATGCTATAATAAATAATCATCATCAAATAAGAAATATGGTAAAAACTACATCTGTAGACATGTAATTGAGTTTTCTAAATAAAAAAAGCGGTTTATTCACAAATAGCAGTTCTTTCTGCGTCTCTTGTTTTATACATGGTTTATGAGGGTGGAGGTGGTGCTGGGAAGGGGTTTGCAGGCACTTGAAGAGGACCTTAGTGAGAACAGCTGGAGCAGGGCTGGAGACCGTTCTCGTTGCACGCTGTGCACTTCAGGGCTTTGAAGGAGTCGGTGAAGCAGTTGCGAAACACAGACATTTTGCTGCCATGGCACATAGGGCACGGGACAAAGGCAAATCCCCCACACGTCTGGCATGTGTTGGGGTGCTGAACCCTCTACCATCAGACAGAGAGACAGAGAAAAATGTGAGTGGATTTGAAGGAAATACCTGACCCGTGTGCAGATTCTCTTTGAGATACAATCTGAGTGATGCTTTATTTTTTATTTTATTTTTTTAAGACAAATGCAAGCTTGACTCTAATTATTATTTTGGGCTGTTCTGCACACCGTTTATGTAAATACACAATAATAATTTAAGCTTGCTTGCTATTAGTACTTGTAATTATATATATATATATTTTAGAAAGCATTTGCAATTATTGATGGGACCCAACCTGTAAATTGTCAACCCGATCTCACAGGATGACGTAACTATTTTACATAGTGGCGATTTCATATGAATGTATACAATGTGACTCATACAAAAACGGACGATTTTTAGAAAAATAATAAGCATTAAAGTCCACCCCTAAACCGTATGAGATTTTATGGATTCATATGAATTTGCCAAAACTTAAAATAGTTACAAATTTGCCATAAGATTGTGTTGAAATTGTTGACATTCACTATGTTTGAGAAATCACTATGTAGCAAATTGTGCCTGCAAAATGCATAACATGTACATAACATTAATCACTGATATATAATGTAGTCTATGTGTAAAGATCTATACTGAACTGTAATAATAAACCTTTCCTCTTGTAAATGGTTGTGTTTTCATTTACAGAATAAACTATGACAATAAACCAGATTTGAATTTGTCTTTACTTTAGCAATTGGATCCAATAGGTAAAAACTTTATGTAGAATATTGGCTTATACTCCACTTAAAAATTAATGTTCTTTCTTGACATTAATAATACAATGAAGAAACTTTAACACCTATGGAACCTTTCCATGCTCTAAAAGGTCTTTATAGTGGAAAAGGGCTCTGATTCAAATGTTTTTCACACTAAGAAAAAAAAATTTCTTTTTGGAGCTGTTCACCCAAAATGGTTCTTCTGGCATTGCTGCAAAAAGCTCCTGTTGAAACCTTAAAATATCCATATTTACCTCTATTTTGTTGAGGAGATCCTGAAACTCCCCTAATTCATTCATTGCAAGTATTTTCTCTGCACCCTGAATGTACAAAATGTGCAAATCATTGTTTAGATTTCAAGCACGAGCATAATGACGTTCAATATGGTGTGCATTTTGAAACAGCTGTGGAGCAATAGATTGGCCACTGACCCCTAGGTAGTGTCCATCAATGAAGACCACAGGCAGTGAGGGAGGTTCACCCACTCGCTTGCAGCGTGTCTCCAGTTCCTTCCCATATTCACTGTCTAAAGCGATGTTCTTCTCTATGAACTTCACCCTGTGGTTCTGAAAGATCTTTCGGACCAGCTCACATCGCTCAAATGTAGTCCTGACCACTCGAAAACTGGTGGTGTAGATTACAATTCGCCCGAACTCTGGAGTCAGTTCTGGCTGAGAGGGCCAAAGAAAACATAGAAGTCTGCCGTTAGATGAGAGAGGCTCTCTTTAACAGTACTCAATCTAATCATAACACATCTCGCTTGCATCCAAGAGTAAGCAAAAAAAAATCAGTTCAATATCCTTAATCTCAAAAGCACAGGTTTGACTGTAATTAAAAAGCAAAATAAAACTATATTTTAGCTTTCTAAGTCTGTACAAGGTTTGCAGCAGCTTTTGCAGGTAACGTGAGACAGCATCTATTGATTTTGTGAGTCACTGTTCTTGAGATTGACCTTCAGCATCCTTTCTTAGAAGAGCAGCTCTCATGAAGTGTGAAGGTGTTTTTCTTTGCAAAGAACAAAAATAGACTAAACCTTCACACATTTTGAAGTGAGACTAGAGAATGACCTGCAACTGTCTAATGCAACTGTAGCATTTAGTTATGTAATGGTTTGGTTGACGTGGTCTTACAAGAAACCTATAAATGTTTCTAGTTGAGGAAAATTTTACTAATCCTCAAATTCCAATAAGAACATGACTGCAAACTTAGTGCAAATACTGTAGCATTATAAGCCAACATGAGTCAGCTGTTAAGATTTAAGTATGAAGTGCCAATAAATCCTGCAGTAATGCAATTATTGTGCACTTATTGTCAGACTAATGATTCTCAACTTCCTTTTCTGACATCATATAGCAGCTCATAAATAGTTTATATACTTGCTATATTGACATTCTGAACCATGCTGACAAAGGTGGTGATGGCTTTTCCTGTTTAGCCATCTTGGATAAACAAATGATTCAGTGTTGTGGGAGCAGAAAATGCAGTGCATTGAACAGACACTTTGGGACCATTTGAACTGTTCTCAGAACTGGCATTTTTGCAGCTACCCAGCAAACAGGTAATGGTGATTGCATTGACTGAAACGTTCTGGCAAAGTTCTCTCGAAGTTATGAACTAACATTCTTCCAGTAACATTAATAGAACATTGGTTCAAATTTATCTGGTCTTTAATAATGTCCTAAAAATGTTTGCACCAAAAAAATGATTTAATATAATAATTAATGGGGGAAAAAATCTGAAATGTTTCATTTTGATGTGTCTAATGATTTTCTTAATGTAACTTGTTTCAGAACATTCCCATAATGTCTGCGAAATAATAAAATGGTATATTCCTTTAACGTTTGTATAACCAAGAAAAACTCTTCTAAAACACTTTTTACTTTTCCACAACATTCTAATTTATTGAGATGCACCTGTACATATGGTTTGAGAGGGGCATTGATTTGCCCTGTAGGGGTTTCACCAGCTGGAAGTTCTGGTAAATATTTTATGATTGCTTGTTAATATGGAGAGCGTTTTTCTATTTAATTAGCTGCTGTGGTTCTCAATGCATCAGTGTTTCTTGCACTGCAGCTGCATGCTGTGCTTGAGCATGAGGGGAAATGGAGTTCAACTCTCATTGGCTGGTATTTGCACACATCTGCCCTCCAGTGGGGCTGCAGGTAGCACTGCAGCTGCTCTGTGAATACAATGGCCCTGCAGAAGTGAACCGAGCCATATTGCGTGCCGGCGAGCTCAATTGGCCTTTACTCACACCTTGCATCACAGTTGATGAAAATGGAATATATTATACATTCATTGGAACTAAGCCCTAAGGCAGATTGTCACTTTCTGTTTGCTTAGTCTGTACTAGAGAAAGGGTCTTTTGAGCATACTTACTAAAAACAAAACTGCCAGATTTCCTCTTTTCAAAGATTTTGAAATCTTTTTTTTTTTCATGTTAAAGGTTTGTGGATTTTACTGCGTGACTGTTAGCAATGAAGTAATCTATTTGTTAGTGTATGTTGACAAAAAGTATTTATTTATTTTACTTTCTAGATCGAGGTACACTGACATTCAAATGTTTTGGGTTGTGAGATTTTTGAAAGTCTCTTATTCTCACCAAGGTTGTATTTATTTGATCATACAGTAAAAATAATAATAATTTAATAGTGTGAAATATTACAAATGTGAAATATTACAATTTAAAATAACTGTTTTCTATTTTAATATATTTTATCATTTAATTTATTCCTGTGATGTAAGGCTGAATTTTCATCACATTCTTCAGTGTCACATGATCCTTCAGAAATCATTCTAATATGCTGATTTGGTGCTTTTTTTATTATTATCAAAATGTTGAAAACAGTTGCTGCTATTTGTGTGTGTGTGTGTGTGTGTGTGTTTTCAGGATTCTTTGATGAATCTAAAGTTTTCTAATTAAAATGATGTCACGTTTGATTAATTTAATACTGAATAAAAGTATTCTTTAATAAATATATAAATAAAGTCTTTTGAACAGTAGTGTATGCAGTAGTGTATGCATGCAACTGAATAAATTATGGTCTGTGGCTGTGATTTAAGGATATGACACAGGAAAGGAAACTGCACTCCTCGACCCTTTTCATGGATCTTAATTGCTGATTACAGTTTTTTAAATTCCATATTCTTTCTGAAGAAAGATCAAACTAAATCTGAATATGAAGAAAGTTTCATAACAAAATCATGGCAAAGAACAGACAAACCTATGGCAATGGCCTCTTTGTACCTTCTCATTTATCATGCCGATCAAACAATCATATGCCAAACCTGACTGCTGATCCGATCTGTCTGTTCTTCTCTCAGCCACTCCCCTAAAGGAGTTATCGGGGTTAAACATGCAGTCACATCAGATGCTCTTTGCATTTTAAACAGTAGCATGAGAAGAACCAAACGGCTTAACACAAAGACTCAGCATAATTTAGAGGCTGCAAACCATCCTGCATGTGTATGCATCCAGTGATTTGCTGGAGCCTGATGAACATTGGGCTACATTTCATTTTGGCGTTCAACAAATCATCTGTTTCCAGCCACATGCCAATATACTCAGACGGCGGCGTCTGTTTTATTCCGGGGCTTTTTCAATTTCCTCAAAATCAAAAGACTGTGGCGAACCATGACCTGGAGAGCTCACTAAAGCAGCTCTGCCAATGATCATTTAAATCCACCCTCATAAATGCTATAATGCATGTCTATTGCTTCCATTTCAGGGTTTTTAAATCACACCCCTGCTTCTCTGTAACGTCAGTGCCAGTTTTGTGAGCTCTGGCCCTCAGGCAGATCTTTCACTAAATGATGTCACGTCAGAGCTTGTGAGTGATCAGGGCTCAAGGCTGATCGTGTCTGTTCTTAATGTTCCTGGATCAACATCCTTGTTGATATGAAACAACAAAGCTAATGAACCAGTCAGGCTGGTTGTGGTTAGCAGTCAGGTTTGGCATGTGATTGTTTGATCAGAATGTTGCTCCAGGATCAACAATGGACACTGACATAAGAACATGTACTTGACTAAATCATTTAGTTTCTAAGGTCTCTTATTTATGGAGGATTCTTCAATTAGGGTAACTTTTCCACTAGATTGATCTGAAAGAAAAACTGCTTTTATTTTATTTATTTATTTTTTTAAATCTACAATAGGTTTAAAGGATATATTGTAACAGCTTTATTTTTTATTTTATTATTATTATTATTATTAGTCTCTTTAATTGTTTGAGAGTGTGGAAAAGTTCATTTTGACCAGTTTAACTTTTTAAGTTTTCCTCTATAATAATAACTAAGTGTTAAAATCAAGGAAATTCCACTTTGCACATTTTCTAAAAACTTAAAATATATAAATTATGTGTACAATTTCTTAAATTCAGTTTTTATAATGATCTCTGTTCCCGGCACTGCTGTCACCACCATCACGCCAAGCATTTTGGAAAATAATAATCTCCAAGAAAGTAATAATCATGATTTATGCATGATTTATAAATAGTAAGTCAATGATCACCATGAGTCATGGAGACGATTGACCCAACCATCCCATCATATAAAGAACAATGAAGATTAATATAATTCCATGTTGTTTACAGTGATTTAAGGAATTAATTTGGCTTAATCCCATAATTAAATTGAGTATTTCAGGTGATTTATACATATGGTTCGACTAACAAAATAAATGAACTTCAGATCTTAACAGTGAACTTCATAACCTGTGGCTAATCCTAAAAGGATTATGGAGAATTGTTTGACTGATAAAGAAGTGATAAATATGGTTTAATATTACTATAATTGAAAAGGTTTCCCAGGCAAATCAAAATGCGAGGGTTTCACTGATAGTCCAGCAGGGGGCAGAGTCCGATTTTACTGATCAATGAATTGCAACAATCTACAGATCAGATTGTTTCCTCAAGTGCACTAACATAACTGAATCAACCTAAATAAATAAATTTATACCAACAAAACTAATTTTTAACCTTTTTTCAAGTAGAAGCTTTAACAGTTAAAGACTACAGCAATATTGGCCGGCACATAAGCAATTTAATGACTGTACATTTATTATATAAAATATATTTATTTGCTTTATTTTATCTAGACAGTCTCTTTTGGACCCATAAATGTCCCTGTGCAATATGTTCAGACAGACAAAGTTTATGAGCAAAATAAACATGCAGGGTGTCCACGTTTTGATTAGATTCCTCAGTCAATATCTATTAAGCCCACTGTCTTTTTTTCCACCCATGCTATAGCATCCCAGAATCCTCAGCTATTGTTAGCTGAGCCATCAATTCTAAGGGGCCTTTCTGATCATATCGGCTGATAGGCTGCCAGCGCTGCCCAAGACAGATGGTGCCATCCGATTGTTGACTGACAGGTGTTGCTGTAGGTACTCTTCATGACCCTTTCAGCCTGACTCTTTAGTCTGAAACACAACCTATTATTTTATTAGTCTACTCCATTTTGAACTCATTTTCAAGCCATCCATTTAATCCTATAATCTCAATCGCAAATATTCTTCCCAAAAGAATCAACATGCTACTTATAAATACGTTCATAGGCATTGTTGAATATTTCATGGTCCCAACCACATGCAGTGAGTCTAATCTGCCAATAAGTGTAGATCACACTCATAGCCTGCAGCGAGTGCAGATCTTGTGTGGCCTGAGTTTTCTGATGGAGCGGCCGGCTCATTTATCACAGAGATGGCCTCTGACCACTGCTTGGAGCGCAGAGCCCTTTTTAGTGGCGAGTGAGACGTCACTGTGGCTTTATAGCAAGAAGGATCGAACTTTTGTGCATGCAGGAGACATGAATGAGTCATGATGTTTTGATGCATTGAACAGTATTTTTTTATTATTATTGAATTACAAATATATAAACAATATGCTAGGGGAAATAAACAATATTACACAAAGACATGAGAGTGAGACGTCACTGTGGCTTTATAGCAAGAAGGATCGAACTTTTGTGCATGCAGGAGACATGAATGAGTCATGATGTTTTGATGCATTGAACAGTATTTTTTTATTATTATTAGTGAATTACAAATATATAAACAATATGCTAGGGGAAATAAACAATATTACACAAAGACATGAAGATGATACATGCCGGTACAGTCTGAATAGCTTTGTGTGTGTGTGTGTGTGTTTTGCTATAAAATATTAAAAGCATGATTTATTTCCTGAAAATATACATTTATGGAATTTAGCCAAATAAACAAATAATATGCATATGAACTAAACAGGATCCCACAACAAATATGTCACTCCAAAATGACAATTCTGTCATCATTTACTCAAAAAGCATTATAAACGTAACGTATTTGAAGTAATAAGAGTCGTCTATTTAGCTCATGCTCTATTCTAAGCCTTCTGAAGATACACATTCAATTTGAGAAATTTAAGGGGAAGTACATAATGGCGAACTTTTAATTTTCAGGTGAAATATCAATTTAAGAAGAGAAATTTTGAAATGGGAAGTTGCATTTGGGTTCCTTTTAGATTATTTAATTTTGTATAATTGATATAAATGTACAGTGTTAATACAAATGTTTAGATATTTTTAGATGGGCTATTATATGCAGCTCTTGTACCAGATGTTCGTCTGATCATTTTTGATCAGCACAGATGGAGGGTGGGAACAAGGCTGGACATTCATGTGTGTTCAACAGAATTCAAATAAAAAGATTGATCTATTTATATCTGTCTGTGAATGAGAGAGCGCGTGTCTGTGTGTGTGTATTGAGAGGATGAGTCATTATTTAGACTGATATGTGCTCAAAGATAAAAGCGCCGCGCACATAATCAAAGATTCAGGCAGCTTGTCACTGTTGCTAGGCAACCTGAGGAGCAGTAGAGCCAAATCCCCGAGCAGCGGGTGGATGACGGCTAGCTCGAGAGAAAACCCCGAAAGCTTCGGAAATAAGATGTTATTATTTGTGGGTTACCATTTCATATATCTTATATTAGTAATACAATACAATGAAAGATATTAAGATAACATACGAAATTAATGTGTGTGTGCAGTATTCAGACTTACGCTGTTACAAAATAAAGGCCGAAAATATGTCAATATGTCCATGAAAACTCTAAATGATGTTCTTTTATTTTATTAATTTGTCTAATTATAGTAACAGCAATATTAATTGCAGTTGGCCAGAAGAAGAGGAACGTGAAACAGGAATGGAGAATTTCGTCGATCAACATGTGGCTTGTTAAAAGCAAACCCTCAGCATATCAGCAAAGTCATGATGCTTTCCGGCTGAAGGGTAAGATGAGAGGCAACTGCAGAGTCGTGATTGCTTCAGGGCCTAAAATAAAGAAATAGTGGGCTGTCATTGTCTCTGCAATGCAATCCCCCTTTGAAACAATGAGAGTAACCGCAGCGAGGGAATCTCCAGCAGACCTTTTATCATATTAGGGGGAAATATTTTGGTATAGTTTTTATTTAGCCGAGTACAAATAATACTTTGTATATCTGGAGACCTGGTTTTATTTGGCCTTACAGAAATATTGTTTCTATAAGAAATGTATGTTTTTCAGAGTGTGAACGACCAGACTGTATGCGATATAGTGCGACGAGGCCCCCCTCTGCGCTCTTAGTTGGCACGGTCCAATTTAACACGGAAGCAGCGCCGGGAGGATGACGTAAGATGTCGGAGTTGCGCATGCGCCGGTGAGTCTCATGAAAACCAACGTTTGATAACAGGAGCAAAGGAAACAAAGTTTCCTTACTTTAGCGAAGGAAAACCAGTCTCCTCTTGGCTTATATTGAAATCCTCCCACATTCTTCTTTACAAATCTTCGTTTTGTACTTCTAATAAGTGACCGTTGTGTTGTTTTGATCTCTACCCTGCGCTTCCGCGTTTGTCACTTCTGAGCGGCGCATGCGCAAAGCTGACCTTATACGTCATCTGCCTGGAACTGCTTCCATGTACAACTGTTGGCGCAAGCTACATAAAAGTGATTTATGTTTGAAATATGGATATTTATCTTACAAAAATGCATGGATTCGCTACAGGAGGCCTTTATTCACCCCCTGGAGCCATGTGAGGGACGTTTTATTACGGATGCACGCACTGGAGGGGCCCAGACAGTTTTTAATATAACTTCGATTGGATTCGTCTGAAAGAAGAAAGTCACATAGGATGCTTTGAGGTTGAGTAAAACACAAGCTAATTTTCATTTTTGGGTAAACTAACCCTTTAATATAAAGTGTGACTGAACAATAAAAAATCTAAACATTTTCAAATAATATATA